AGAGACACCAATTTCACGCCATTAAGAGGTGGCAGGGACATTCCTGAGTGCTCAGACCCACAGTTCAGAGGGACTTAGCAGCTCTGCCCCATGTCCAGCCCCAAACACCCCCCAGTGCTCCCCTCTGGCTCCCAGAACTTCTCCCATTCCCTTGCACAAATTCCAGTTAATAGGATTCCAACTTCTGGCTATGAAAAGTGATAAATGTGAGGGACCATGGAGCATTTTGGGGATCCATTTCTGTGCTTTGACAGCACAGATGGAAGCAAAGAGGAATTACTTTTTGAGGCTGGAAAATCTTTGTTTAGGGAGAAGACAAATCCCAGCTCCTCCAGCCACAGCAGCAAGTCCAGTACTGAACAAACACCCCCTTATTTCACATCCTAGGGCAAAAATCAGGCTCTTTTTTCTCAGACCTTTCAATTAAACAACTTCTTCAGCCAAACAAGAACCACCTGCCCTCTCACACCTCTGCTGGGATGTGGGGATCTGCGCCCCGAGGGTGATGGATTGACCATGGAGCCGTCAATGACCTCCCAACCTACAGCTAAAACCAGGCAAATCCTTTGGAAGGCGCCTGCAAATTGATGATTTTCATCTGCTCAATAACAGCCTGGCGTCCTCTTGGCTTCTCCACACACTGATGCAACCCAGCTTCTCCTGAAGTGTCGCGGGATGCGATAATGAAGGATAAATTACCGGGATGAGATAACCATCCATAGAATGAAGTCATCTAAGGACAGGTTCGGACATATATATTTCATTGTGAAAGACCTCCTTTATTCCCACTAATGGAACAAATTAAATCAGCCAAGCTGAATAAAACTCTCACGTCCCAAGACGTAACGACGCACTTAAAAGTTCTCCGTTCCTCTGGCGGCGCAATCCAATCACTCATCGCTGTCCCTTGGAAAAGCGGAGGTGGGGAGCAAGGACAGAGCTCAGGAATTCAGCAGGTGACAGGAGTGTGTGTCCCATCACAAAGAGAGCCCCAGCAGTGTGTATTTCTCTGTGGCACTCCTGCAGGCAGAGCCTGAGCAGCTCTTTGGGGCTGATCTCACCCCTGGGATGGTTCTGAGCCATGTCCAGCGCAGCTCCCCTGTCCCAAGCGTGTCACAGTTGTCCAGGAGAATTTTCCATCCATTTTCCAGGAGAACTGGGGGTGATTTCATTCACACGCTTTATCCTTCACCTCAGGGCACCTGAAATAACCACACCTGGGCCCTTGCCTGCAGCACTGCAACACCTCCACATCTCCAGCACACAAATTAAAACCTTATCACCACCGAGCAACTCAGCGCTGGGTGAAACCCAGGTACAACATCACTGTTCCAGCTTTTCCCTCCCCTGTACCACCCAGGAGCATTCCCAGCTCGTGGGAAGGCAGGCAAGGCTGCAGGAACCACATTTTTCCTACAGCCAGCATAAACAGCGTGATGGAAAAATAATACCTAGATGGCGACTGGCAGACAGAGCAGAGACATTTATTTATTCTTGATCACAAACAATGTCCTGCATTGACAAGCTGAATGAAGGGCACTTCACTGATTTATTAGACCTAATAAGAAACAGACCTCTCGGGATGAAATACAAGATTGATTTTTAGTGGCAAGCCTCGCTGCCATCCCAGGCACTGAGCTCAGGCTGATGAGATGGAACCAGGCGTGCGCAGGGACGCGGGGCTGACACGGCTCTGCTGGGGCAGGGGAATAAATGGGAGGATTGGCACGGGGAAGGGGAGATGGAATGGAAACACGGCAATAACAGCCCTGCACTGAGGGTTCCCCCTCTCCCTGCAATGCTCCTCTCTCCCACTACAGCTGTGGGTCCCAGGAGCAGCAAACCCCTGGGGAGTTAAGGGCAACTCTGGTGGGATTCCCTGGAAACCTCAGAGCCAGACCCTCTCCATGAATCTGCCTTCCAGAGCAGCCCCTCTAAGCACAGCAATCTCCACATCAGTCTCAGCATCTCCCAGGCACACACACATCAGCTGAGTTCCGTGGATGCCGTTTTCCATCAGGAAAAAGACAGCTAGCACAGCAGTGCTTAGCTTGAGGCCCTATTAATAGCAGTTCTAATTATATGGCTGCAAATTTAATTCATGGCAATGATTAGTGTCAAAATCAAAGGCATCACACATCAATATTGATAGAATTGTATGAAGCCCATAAACAGAACAAGCGAGCTGACACATCTCCCCCCAGCACTTAGTTGCTGTTAACTGTTGCATTAATGCCCCTTTTCATTTTGCTTGATGGAAACGGTTTTATTGGAGGAATCCACGATTCTGAATGGTTATGTCTCCAACACGAGCCCCTTTCCCCTTTTTAACCCCAGCCAGGAGGCTGAGGTGCTTTGGAAGGAGAGCAGGAGGGGGAATTTCATCCCACGTACCTGTGCTCGGCCAAAGGGCCACGGCATCAGCAGCATCTGCTTTTCTCCCACTCTGAGACAATTCCTGGGGAGCAGAACCAGCAGGAGCAGAGGTGAAGAGCTAAAGGCAGGAGGACACCAGTGAGATGACCCAGTGTTTCCAGTAAGGAATTCTCACTGGGGGAGCACAATTTGAAAGATTTCGGAGCCATCTCCCTGACTTTCCTCCAGCTACACCAAAATCCTTCCCTGAAAGGCCAGACGGAGCCAGCAGCTTGTTTCCAAAGGAAATCAACAGCTGTGGGCGAGGGAATAGGTGTGACAAAGCTTTCAGACATTAATTGTGTGGGTAGATCTGAGACGGAGGAGGAGATCAGGTGGAAAAGGCGTCTCCACAAATCGCTGGCGCTTACAGAGGTGCTGAACACTTCCACCATCATTTCACAGATGGGGAAGGAGAGATAAGGAGAGAGTCCTGAGCTCTCGACTTCCAGACATGTCTGGTTATCCTGGAACAGGCACGAAATCTGGAGACAACCTGTTAACTTCCCCCGGGTCCTGCCTCCTCTGCATCCACAGCCCCTCAGCTCAGTGCAGAGCTGCTTCCTACGCCTCACCTGGGCTCCCTCAGGCCATGGAAAAGATAATCCCATGTGAAAAATGAGGGAAAATCTGCAAAAGGTGTAGACAGAGCTGTGAGAGAACAGCAACATCCTCAGCCCCACACAGGGGAGGATGGGACCATGATTGTTCCAGTTAATTACTGGGGGGATGGTTCCCATCAGCTGCAGGCAGCTCTGCTGTTAAATAAGGGCAGATGCCATGAAAACCTGACTGTAGTGAATGTCTGGAATGAATTTACTTCAGAGATGGGCCAATTTTCATCCAACAGATGAAGGATTGCAGGTGAAGGATTCCACAGCCCTCCCTGTGGACAGTGGAGCAGGAATAGATTGACTTTGCATCAAAAAGTGTTCAGTGTAGACGAGCACCAGGAATGAAACCCTGCTGGAGAGACTGCTGCTTCTGTAATCCTTCATAATTCATGGAACAAGCCCGTAAATATCTCGTGTGCAGGCACAGGCTCCTGCTTTTGCTGCCTCTGATTGAGGAGCCTCCCCTGCCACCAAACCCTGGGCACAGCAAGCACCGGGCTGCACCCCTGGCTGCATCCCCTGCTGCATCCCCGGCTGCATCCCTGGCTGCATCCCCAACTGCATCCCCTGCTGCATCCCCTGCTGCATCCCCTGCTGCATCCCCGGCTGCATCCCCGGCTGCATCCCCAACTGCAGCCCAAACTCCGAGCTTGGCACACACGTTTGGGATGTGCCGAGGGCTCCTTTTCCTTCCATTTAGCTGAAAATCCCTCTCCCCTGTGCCATGGCAAGCAGGGAAGTGAAGGGCTCTGCTTTACAAGCTCCCTCTCCCCCACGTTCAAAATTGCCCCACTGACACTCGAGAGGCACCAGGGAGGCACCTAATTTACTACTACTCAGCACTTGTAAAGTGCTGAATGAATATTAATGAGCTGATGTAATTAAAATGATGCAGACATTCAAGTGTAGTATCTGCCTGTCCTTGTATCTTCCTGGATAGATGAGGAAGAAATTCCCTGCTGCTTAAGGACTCAAAAAATTAACAGCCTGCTGTTGATTACATTTGTTAACTCTTTCCCTGGCATGAAGGAGCAGGGGCTGCATTTAACGGGTTCACCTAATGCTGTCATTTAGAGCTGAGGTTAATTGCAAAGGTCTCGGCTTGCCAGAGCAGCAGCTCCGAGGCTGCTTTTGCTGGAGCTGGATCAGACTGAGCTGGCTTCCAGCTGCAGCTCCAGCTCCAGAGGCCAAGGAGGGCTCTCACACACCGCTGTTTACACCCCAAGGCCACTTCCAAACCTATTTTAAATACAGACCTCCTCAGAGAGTTCCCTTCCAACTCAGAATATTGTGAGATTTCATGACTCAGAAGTGGGGAAATCCCAGCTGGACTTCAAAGGCCTAAAAATCATTCAAGGTCGGGTTGGACACAGGCTTGGAGCAATCTGGGTTTGGTGTCCTTGCCCAAGTCCCTTCCAACCCAAGACATTCTGTGGCTCTCACCTGAGCCCTACCATCCCCTCCCAGTGTTTGTGATGCAGAGGACAAGGAATGTTCCAGGGCTGATCGATCATCCAGCAGAAGAGGCAGAAGGAAGCAGTGGGAGTCTGCCCTGAGGCTTGGTTCCAAAAGCAGCCACATTAACCCGTTCCTGTCTCTCCATGACCAAAATCCTGCCAGCACCAGCAGCTCCAAAGGCTTTGTAACTCACAGCCTTCTACACCGGTAGCAGGATTTCTGGGAAACAAAACGATTGCAAGATTTCCATCTGACCTCCTTTGGTTCCTTTCCAGGACCATCCTGCAGCAGCTTCAACCTCACCTTTCCCAAAACCTGGCACTTCAAAACAAACCACACTAACAGCACTGAGGGCTGAACTCTGCCTCTCCAACCCTTCCATTTCCACTCCTGCTTCACTCCCAGTTTCCCACCGGGAAACACCCATAAGACACAGCAGCAGTGACACACCAGAGCGTCCCCAAAGAGACAAAACCCAGCTCCTGGCTCTGCACAGGCTCAGAACAAGCTTACCTTCTTCAGCTTGCCCGTCTTGGTGCCCACGAAGACCACGCTGTAGCCGTTGTAGACGTAGGAAGCCACGGAGGTCATGCGGTCGCGGCTGGAGGTGAAGAGCGTGACCCCATCCACGGGCACCGAGCCCCCCAGGGGCTGGTTGATGTCAAGCCCACAGAAGTTGTCATCGATGGGGACTGGCTGGAATGACAAGGTTTGGGGCAGCTGTGAGTGAAACAGAGCCCAGGGCAGCCCCACACACTCGGGGTGGTGTGGAGGGAGCTGGCAGTGCCAGCAGCAGGGCCACCAACGTGCCACCCCCTGCCAGCTCCAGCCACCCTCCCCAGGGCTTCTGCGGCTTCCAGAGCCCCACCCTGGGAATGACAAAGACTCCCAGGAAGCTGCACACCTTTATCCTGCCTTAACACCACCCCTTCCCTCATTGTCATCACACTGTAGGATGAGAGCATGGATTAAAAGGGAAGAGTGCTCTGAATGTAGGGAAACTGAGGCACAGACGGGCTGACACTACTCTGCAAACTGGTGTTTCATTGATCCTGGCTCTCGAGGGCCCCCACAGCCATCACCCTGTGCATCCTTACCGCTTTGGTGCACTGGACATCCTTCCCCAGCAGCCAGTTGAGCTCCAGGTTGCCCTCGCCCTGGTAGCAGGACTGCAGGCGCTCCTTGATGTGGGCGTTGACGGTGCGGATGGGGAAGGCGCAGAGCGCCGAGTCGTCGGGGGGGTGGTGGTACTGCTTCTGCCCCTTGGAGAAGATGGCAAAGAGCACGTCCTCCTGCGCCGTGATGTTGAGGGCCCTGGCCAGCACCTCCCCCGGCTTGGACAGGTAGGCAGCCTGCAGCAGGCGGTACTCCGTGTCCCCCCGGACGCAGCCGAAGGGCAGGGACACGTACGAGTGGAACTTGGGGTCGTCCTTGCACAGGCGGACGATGCGGGAGGTGTAGAAGAGGTCGCTGGCGGAGTTGATGGAGACGCCCTCAGGGGTCTCCGGCTGCACCGTCAGGAAATAGACGAAGTTGCCACTGGAGAAGCCGTAGATGTAAAAGATGTCAAAGTGCGAAACCAGGGCCAGCGTGTCCGAGGGGATTTTGATGAGGGACGAAACAAAGTCACTGTGGAGCTCGTAATCCAACATCGCCGACGACTCCGGGTCCCGGGGCAGCTTGCGGCTGGAGAGGGTGGGGAAATAATCCTGCTTGCCATCCACCGCCGTGCCGATGAACAGCTTGCCGTCCTCGCCCTCGGAGCGCACGATCACCCCGTACATGGTGCCCGTTTTGTTGACGCTGGAGAGGTAATGCTCCTTCTTGTGCGAGGGCTCCACCAGGATGAAGAGGTCGTCGAGGCGCAGCAGCTTGCAGACCCCCTGGTAGAGGCTGCCGCACGCCAGCAGCCGGTTCTCGGAGTAGTCAATGATGAGCAGCTTGTTGACGTTGTTGGTGAGCGTGAGGACCTCGCTGCATGGCTGCACGATGAGGGGCGGGTAGCAGGATTTGTTGTCCTCCTCGGGACCGGTTTTGTGGGCCACCAGAATGGTCAGGTTCCCCGAAAGCTTGTACACCCTGTTGATGGCCCCCACGTAGACGGCGCCGGTGCCACGGTGCACCGTCAGGTGGTTGAACGTCCAGTCCCGGTTCTCCGAGTGGAAAGTGTTGAACAAGGCATTGCTGGACACGTTCCGGGACAGCGACGCCAGGAAGAGGCAGAGCAGAGCCACTGACCAGCCATCAGAGTCCAGTGCCCGAGGCCAGTTCCTCCTCTGATCCATCCTGGGAAAGGCAAACTCCGCGTCCCCCGCGCGTGTCCTGAGCCCCAGCAATGCCCCTCACATGGTTCTGTGGAGAGAAGAACCACCCAGAGCCAAGGATTAGATCCCGTGTGCCCTGCAGATAAAATTCAAAGGAGGCTTTCTAATTACACAGTCCTTGAGATAAAGGGAAGATGTATCCGAGCACAACGAGAATTAAGCAAGTCCACAACTTACTGGAGAACAGTTCAGGCTTGATGCTTTGCCACTTGTTTCAGCCCCTGCATCTTAATTTGTGGCTGGGTTTGGCTGTTCAGAGCACGCTCTGCTCAGCCAGGGAGGGGAGAATCAGCTCCAGCCCAAGACAAAGCCTGTGGCTCACAGCCCCAGCCATCCATCTGCAATCTTGGCTGAAAGGATGTCTCCTGCAGGGTGTGTTGCTGGAAGCAGCAGAGGAAATAAGAGCTGTTCTTTACCTTGAAACCCTCTCTGATTTAATTTGGGAACCTGAGGAAGAAGCCTCGTGCAGGCAAGTTCATTGAGCACAAACACACTGAAGGCACTGACATCTCGCCTCAGACCCTCCCCAGAGCCAGAAGTGCCTCTCAAGCAGGTGCTTTTTCGGCAGGAACTCCTTCACAAGGTGCTTTCCTGCCAAAAGCAGCTGCTGCCAAGCTGGGAGCACATGGTTAGATCAGCCACCATCCCTGCCAGCAGGGGAGAGACCACCAGCCTAGAGCAGCTTGCTTGACCTGACCACAGAGGTGTCGGAGTGCAAGGATGCAGAAAACCACCGGGAAGTTCTCCTTTATCAAAAATTATGCATTCCTTATGTGCTCCAGGCTGGGCAGGCAGAGGAACCACTCCAGAGACCTCCTCCCTCACCTCAGGGTCGGGATGAAGCTGAGGATGAGGCACATTCTGCACCCACGGTGTCCCAACAGGGCCAGCCCCACACCCCCCATGGGAACCCTGCCCTGCAGCTCTGATCCCCCTGCCAGGGCAGGAGGCTGTTCTCTCACCCCCATCTGATGGCTGCTGCTCTTGCTTTGGTTTATTTAAATTTACAGCAATTCCTGGTGCTGAAAAGCCACCCTGAGTGTCACCAAAGAGCCGCTCTTTAGCTTGTTCCCGCCGGGAGCCAGAGACGGCTGTTCCTGAGAGGTGACAGAGGAGCTCTGTCCCTGCGCTGCCGTCCCCGTGTCACTGACAGGAGACACGACAGGAGACAGGCAGCGGTAATGGCTTTCTCATTCTGCTCAGGGAGAACTTCCCCAGCTGCTTCCCTCCCGCTGCCAGGCTCGGCGCTCCCGCCTTGGGCTGCGGCAGTTTGTCTGTCCCAGGGAGGACACGGGCCCTGCCACCCCCTCGGTGTTCTGGCACACAACAGCTGCCCCTGCTGCCTTCCCAAGCACAGCAGGACTGGGGGCTCCTCAGCTCTTCCCACCACATTTCTGAGAGAACACCCCAGCACCATTCCCTGAGCCAGAATCTTTCCAAATGGAACGGACCAAAGGGCTCCCAGGGATCTGGGATCCTCTCCGTGCTGGTGACACACGGTGACACCCAATCACGGGGCTCAGAGCAGCTTTGCCTGGAACCCCACAGTGCCCCAAGCCCTGGGACATGTCCCCTACAGGCTCTGGCTCAAGGGGAGCCCCAAAGGGAGAGATCCCACTGAGAAGGGTGAGGCCCTGCTGGAAAGCTCTGCACTCACAACCCTCCTGTTCAGCAGCTCCTGATTCTCACAAAGCTGTTCCATGGCAAAGTGAGGCAAGGACGGTGCAGGCTGGAAATGAATGCACTTAAAGAACTGAACCTTACACACATCTGCATGTGTGGGACCACAGCAGCTTTAGATCTTTTCCAGAGATGTTTCCACCCTGAGCCATTCCAAACCCAGCGCGCGTGGAGCTGCTCCGCTGGAGCCCAGCCCCGCTGCCCTTCCCAGAGAAAGCTTTGCAGAGCATTTCTGAGCAGTCACTGCCAACAGCAGCACAGATCACGCCTTTCAAACATGATCTGAACAGCACAGACCGTGGCCTGAGCTGCCATCCTGCCCAGCCATCCCTGGATCCCATCACCCCCGGGGCTGGGGGACAAGGTGAGGCACAGAGCTCAGCGAGACCGACACCAAACAGCCAGAGAACCCGCTCCCTCTGAGGGTCACCTGCATTCTGGGGAGGAATTCCTGCCTCACAGAGGGGGGAGAGGTTGGCAGAGGTTGCCAACTGTGGCTGCCACATCCCTGAAGTGTCCAAGACCTGTTTGGATGGGGTTTGGAGCAGCCTGGGGTGGTGGAAGGTGTCCCTGCATGGGCTTGAAGTCCCTCCCTCCTCAAACCATCCCTGTGGAGGAGGCCAAACACCTGGGGAGTTAAACACCAACAGAATGGGTGATTTTAACTCTGATCCTTAATACCATTTGATCATTAATTTTTCCTCTCTTTCTTTTCTTTTTTTTTTCCTGAAGAGAGTTTTAAAATACAGCCTCAGAAGCAATCTGCAGCTATTAGTAACGCAAGGTGAAAGCAAGAGTAAATTCAGGCACACAATATAAACCCAAGCAGCTGAAAGGCCTCAATTAGGCTGAAAGGAGTTATCTGGTATTTAAATAATTATTAGATTGAAGGAATAATCACAGGTCTGAGCCGATTTTTTCCCCCACTGTCATCCTAATGGAGACTATAATATTATTATTCAAATGCCCATGATTCTCATTGAGGGGGGAAGAAAAAAGGGCTCATTTAATCTCCATGTGACAGGGCTTCAGGAGGCACCATTAGTCATTTCTCTCATTTCAGCTGTCACTCACTCACGGGCACCACAGTTTGTCATTAGTGGCATTTTGTGCAGACCAAAAAAAAACAAAAACCAAACAACAAAAAACAAAACAACAACCAGGCAAAAAAAAAAGAAAAGAAAGAGAGGAAAAATTAATGATCAAATGGTATTAAGCCAAAACAAGAGAATCTCCCGTGGCAAATGATGGCTCAAAGACACAATTCTGATGTCACCAGGGTGGCAGCTGTGTTTGCCTGGTGCTGAGGGGGCTTTTCTTTGGGGGTGGGGTAGGTCTGGTGAGCAGTGATTTATACTCAGCTCTGCTGGGCCCTCACCCATCGCCTCTGCACACTCAGCTCCTCTTTCCTGGGGTGTTTCACCCCCTCTGGCACCTCCAGGACACAGCAAAGCATCCCCAGTGTCCTCACTGGCCCCAGAACCTGCACTGCTCCTCATCCTCACAGACACCCCCACCTC